GCGCGCCTCTCGCCTATTCGCCTCTTGGCCATGCCCGACCAATCACAATAACCCGTTGCGCGCATCAACCACCCAACATCCACCCCCTGCGCACCACTACGCCAAACCATCAAGCGCCATGCGTGTCTATGCCAATGCGCGTGTGCGCGCCCTTCTTGAATGCGCCCTTTCTCGCGTGCTTGTGCGCCTCGCATACGAGCTCGTGTCCGTCTCTTAGGCCATGCGTGCGTCGTTTTGGCCCTATTTTCAGCTTCCTCGGGTTGTCTTGGCTCTCGGCCCTTCTTGTCGTCGGGGGTCAAAACCCACTTACGCATCATTCCCGCCCCCTTTGAGAATGTCCTTGTCCTCAAGGACTCATCCTCGACCATCCAAACATCGGGCACCTCTTCGATCTCGACCTCGATGTCGACCACTTCGGCTCCATTGAATTTACCATAGGGTTGTACATCGAGTGTAGGCGGGCCTAAGTAGTCGATTGCCACTTCCTCGTCCAAGAACACGTCGCCGATCGAAGGTGGATCCTCGGACTCGACTCGCTCGACCATGAACTCGGTTGCTTCGTCTTCGACATAGCCTGGTAGATCGAACATGAACATGGCCTCTTCGTTGACGAACCCCTCCATGATCTTGAGTTGCTTCTCTTCTAGATCTCTTCGCTCGTGCAACTCCTCCAAATACTCTTGCTCCCAAGGGGTTAATTCCCTCTTCAAACCTTCGAGATATTCAAGATCCTCGAGATCCATCTCGTCCAATGGCTCAAACATCAACATGACTCTCTTCATATTTTTTTTTTTTTAAGACTCTATAAAAAATTCGAAAAAAAGAAGAAGAAGAATTCGAACAATAATTCGAATCTAGGGGAGGAAAAAATAACAAAAGACTAGATGACACTATTTTTTTTTTTTTATTGACTCACGAAATTTTTCGAAAATTTGTGAACAAAAATTCGAAAAAATCGAACACAAGGACTCAAAAATTCGAACCAAAAATAAAAAGAATGGGATAGAAAAAGTTCACGAACACCCAATCAATCACTCTCAATGAAAGCACCAATGATGAAGGATCGGGTGTTGCGTTCACTCGTCTTGTCTCGATCACGGCTTCGCCACGGCCTTGCTCTCGACGATAGGTGTGATCGACTCGGTTATTAGCCTAACTCTCTCACGATTCTTGAGTTCACTCGGTTATTAGCCTCGCTACACTCTCGAAATAGATCGGGTCTTAG